GGTGGTTTTTTGGCCACATACATTCTAATCTGCAAGAAAGGGGAGATTGTGGACATCAAGGAGATGGGCGCTATTCAAGAAGGAATGGCCTGCAAGTGTTACCATGGCAACAAGGGAAGAGTCCACAGAGTTACCCAGCATGCAGTTGGCACTGTTGGAAACAACAAAGGGCAGGATTTTTGCCAAGAGAATTAATGTTCGGATTGAGCATATTCAGCACTCTAAGCACTGAGATAACTTCCTGAAGTGCAGGAAAAAAAGTGGTCAGAAAAAAACAGAAGTCAAAGGGAAAGGTACTTGGGTTCAGCTAAAGCACCAGCCTGCTCCACCCAGAGAACCACACTGTGGGAGCCCACAGAGGAGCCGCACCTCTGGCCCAGGCCCTATGAATTCACAGTGTGGGTGGGTGGGGAAAATGAAAGACCTCTGGGCTATAAAAACTAAGCTAGTAAAATTCAGAATGAAGTATGCTCCCCAGTGGGGTGAGAGTAAGAATATTCTAGAACACTGCTCTACCTTAAGATCCGGTTGGACTCTCTGAGATGGCCAAAATGTGCTGTAATCTTGTCACCAGTGGCTCTCGAGCACTTATGATATGGCTAGTACATGGAAGAACTGATTTTTTAAAATTTATCTCATTTTCATTTAAATTGCCGCATGTGCCTGGTGGCTGCCATACTGGATGGGACAATTCTAGAAGAGCAAGCAACACTTTAAAGGAATGAAGTTGTGAAGCAAGAGCAAGTTCAGGGGGGAAATACAGAGAGTCTGAGTTACAAAAGCCAAATCCTGACCTCAGGGCACATTGGAGAACCATCTAGAACTCATCAGAAAAATAAAGCTGCCTGGACCCAGCCCAAGACCACCCAACCAGACTTTCTCTAGGAGCACGCCTTTAACTGAGGGCTGCCAAATTCTCTGGTGGGAGGAGAGGGCCAGCTGACAGTAGGCCTTGGCTGCCATCCTCAGGGGAGGGTGGGAGAGTGACTGGCGAGTGCTGTGGGCAGCTTGTGGCAGCCTGTGCAAGATGTGAGGGAAGCCGAAGGTTGGGATAATTCCAGAAGCTAAGTGTTAACCCACTGGAGACTTCATTTTTCCTTTGGAGTCCGAGCAGGTGAGCGTGTCCATTTCACGGGGAGCTGTCCCTATTCTTTCCTGGACTGGACATTTGTTCAAAATGCTCCTTAGCAAGTGTGTGGTTGCAAGACTCCCATCTCACTAAATGTTACGATAATTGAAAAATTATAGTCGCTTCCCAGGGTCCTGGAAGGGGGCTCCCTCTAATGAAATAGATCAGCAGCCATTTGCAATTCAAGGCTGCGGCTTCCCTGGATTCTTGGCAGGGACCCACAGTGTCTAGAAGAGGGGATGAAGAAGGGGGTGACTGGCTTTGCAAGTAAGATCACTGTCCCTGGAGTCTGCTCTTTGCCCCGGTGACCTGCTCCTGAGCGTCTTGATCATTCTTGATCAACCATGGAACCAGGACACCAGCCCAGACCCAGACTCAGCTGCTGACTAACTGCCTCGCCTTTCATGCTTCAAGTAGGAGGAGCTGGCTTTGGAAAATTAAAAGGAAAATACTGTGCGCGTGAAGTGTACAAACTAACAAAATGCCTTTTCCAAAAGAGTGAAGTCCAGAGTCAGCCCTTCTGATGGTGCAGGGGAGGATGCGTGTGGGGGTAAGAGAGCCGGCCAGAGCTCCTGGGACATGAAAGGCAGGGGCCTTGGATGCTAACGGGTGGAGACCTGCTCTCCCCATGAAGGACACATTGTCTCTGTCAGAGGACTGTTTTCTCTGACTTCAGACTTAAATGTGTCTTTTACCAAGTGATCAGGATATAAGCAAATGGCAGCTTGGCCCTCCCGCCCCGTTCCAGAAAGATCTGTGTGGCCCATCTGGCACTGTCTCCATCATTGCTATGCAGGCTGCCCTCGCTTGGCTCTCCCTCTGGTTTGCTGTCAGGCTTCCACATGGTATATGAGCGTGTTTTTATTTGAAGTGGTCACATCCTAGAGCAGTGGTTCTGAAGGTGTGGCCCCAGAACCAGCTTCCCTGGTCACGTGTTAGAAACGCACATTTCCAGGCCTCATTCAGACACACTGAATTAACAGCTCTGGGTGGGGCCCAGGAGACCTGCATTTCAGCACTCTGCAAGTGACCCCCCACGCTTGCTCAAGTCCCTTCCTAGAGGAAGGGATTTCTTCAGACCTTTCTTAGACCTTAGACCTAGACAGGTAGCTGCTTCTCTTTTCCTCCAGCGTGGATTCACGACAGTAGGTCTGTGCACAGGCAGCTGTTATTGGATTCCTCCATAAACACCCTCGTCACTGCCCCCTTCTCCCCACTTAATGGAGACATGGCCGCCACCCCAGTATGAGGTTGACTTCAGGGGCCAAGGAAATGAAAGCAGTTTATCACAGGCCATTTTCCCTTCAGTGGAAATAAATGCTTCTGACCAGGCTGCTCACTGAAGCACATGGCATGACACCCGGTGTGAGCCGACTCACGCTGCTTTTGACTTTTCCCTTTGAACAAGAACCCTTTTCTAAGTAGCACCGAGTTAGCAGCACTCATTTAAAAATTCTCAGGGATGGATTCATTCCCTCTGTTTTGTGATTTCAACATGTGTCGGCTGGCACGTTTCCCCTGATCAATTCTCTCTCCTCCTTCCTTAGAAGGAATCCCTGGTAAGAGAAGGAAAGGGCCTGCAACTCAGCCCAAGGAACTGAGCTATGCAGCGAGGGGCTTGATATTTAGCATGAGAAAGGTCTTTCTGTTGTAGAGCTGTGATCTGGCCCGCTGCCTGCTTTTGTAAATAAAATTTTATTGGCACACAGCCGTACTCAGGGAAAGGGGTGGGGGGACAGGAAGAAGTGGGGCAAGAGAATGGACAACTCTGTGACAGAGGCTCAGCCGTTGAGGGGGAGGGGAAAGGGAAGGCAGGGAAAGGACTCTGTGCTTCTCTCCACAGCTCCACCCTACCAGTCCATGCTGGACTCCTGAATTGTCCTCTCAGTAAATACGACACTTACTCTCCTCATACCAAGGAAAGATTTTTATAAAATGTGGTCTCTGTAGTCAAGTTATCTATTTCATCTGCTACTCAGCTGAAAATCAATGATCTGGAAGGAAAACAGGCTGCATCAGAGCTACCGGACAAAGTTACAGGACTGCCCTTGTGGGCAATTTGCAACGGCAGTTTTAATATGAAATGTAGCTTTTGTCTTTTGAACTGACTGGCTTTGATTCCACTGTACTGCTTCTTGTGGGAAACCACCAGTAGTAAAGATTTAAAAGTATTCTGCTGGCAGAGAATCTTCACCCGTTAAGTATTTTACTTTCAAAGGATTAAAGAATCAGTTAATGAAAAGTCCATCTGTATAGATGTATAAAGTTTCCCTAAATGCTTTTTTAAGATCGGATTATTATCATAGCCACTCTGATGTCAATTTTACTGGAGAAATTGGAGTTTAAGAAGTTCGAATTTTTTGCCCAGCTTTTCATGTAAAAGTTGGGAGAACTTTTATTCTATTTCCCCCACCACATAGAAAGTAGCAACAATGGGCTGAAAATAGTGCTGTGTGTTACAATTTAGAAGGTAGTTTTTTTTTTTTTAGATTTATTTATTGATACAGAATGGGGGTACAGGCCAGAGGTGCAGGGGCGGTGAGAGGATTCACCAGAGACAGAGTGGGGAGCAGAACAGGCAGATTGATGAAGTACACTGCTGAGGGGAGCAATGGGTGGGTCAGGAGAGGTCTGCCGCGCTGTGTGGGTCAGCTCCGGGGCAGGCGGGAATCGAACTCGCATTAAGGCAGCTGTGGCCAGCTTGACAGTGCTGCATCCTAACCTGTTGCACCACCAGGGAAGGCCCTAGAAGGGTAATTTTTTAAGGCAGGGTAGAAAGCCAAACTTGGAATGCTCAGTTTTACTGTGATAGGGTATCTTTGTATAATTTCTTGTCCAAGGATATTTCCAGATCCCCATTAGCAAGCTGGAGTTGAGATCACTACTTGTCTGTGTGGGTGGTGAGTGTGTGATCGAATCTTGGCCTTTCTTGGCTGAAGACCACTTGAGCACTGACTGTATTTTATAGTTGGAAATAATGACTTAGGTAGTCACTTCCTGTTATAAACTTGAGCAGATCATCTTTCCTTTATTTTAATGCCATATCTTAATATGAGTAAGCAGGACGTCAGTGTGAGTTCCATCTCAAAACCTTCCTAACCTGTTAGAGAAAAACTGTAATGTTTTCCTCAGCTTGCCAGGTTGTCACTGTTACACATCTGAGCCATCTTGACTGATGTCACTGCTCGTATTTTCTCTAAAAAAATACAATCTCAGGAAGAATGCTTATATAGTTCCTTTTGATTTGCCTCTGCAAAAACTTTATGAGATTGGGCAGTAGGGCTTTGTGGCCAGGGCATCTGATCTGGTTTGTGCTCCAATGTTTCCTCAGTTGTAATGATTTATGCCTCCAAAGGTAATGACTTTGACGGAGATCAACCCTGCAGCATGTGATTGTAGACAATCATTCCTCTTCCAGTGTCATTTTGCTGAGTGTTTTTTACTTTTAACCAGATGCTTTCTGGAAACTAGGATTCAGCTCTGCCACACTAATCAGCACTCTGTCGGTGCAAGCAATAGATACATCTTTGGGAAAATACAGGGGTTCCTAACCTCTTGTAATTTTTTAAAAGATTTATTTATTTATGCATACAGAACTGAGGTACAGGCCAGAGGTGTGGTTGGTGAGAGGATTCACCGAGACAGAGGGGGGAGTAGAACAGGCAGATTGATGAGATACATTGCTGAGGGGAGCAGCAGGTGAGCCAGAAGAGGACTGCCTCGCCATGTGGGTCAGCTCCCTGGCTGGAGATTGAACTTGTCCTGCAGTGGCTTCGAAGAGCTTCATAATGCAGTGTGCACCAGGGAGAGCCCCGCCTCTTATAATGTTAATGACTGGTGGGACATGCTTGTTGTTTGTTTTCTATTTTAGAGATCCCAGAAGACCCACTTATAGCTGAAAAGTACTATGCAGATGTATTTGATTCCTGTTCTGAAGAGAGTGAGGAGGAAGAAGGAATCTTCTCAGGATCACAGGAAGAGATGGAGGAGGGACCACAGCCTGCTTACAGAACAAACCAGGTACACGCTGCTTCCCAGCGGCTGAGGGGCTGTCCAAGGTGCTGACTGGGCGGTGACTTGCTAGTGTCAAGTCTCAGCACCTCAAGTGGGGATTTGCAGGACTAGGACTTTTATTCCAGAGGATCCATTGACAAGCCTTAGTTTAAATAAATCCAAAAGTAGGCAGAGCATTATGGAATTCTGAGAATATATTCTGCACTATGTCGATGAGGGAAGGGTGGGGTCTCTGACACAGGGGTGTGACAGGGAGGAAGAAAACACACTACATTGTACATGGAGGAGCACTCCATATACAGTTATTGGATAAACAATACAAGTGTATCTTGAGCAGGAGGAGATTTTTTACAATATACTTTTCTGCTTGGTAATCAGATAGGTGAATCATGTTCCAGAGCACAAGTTAGTTCTGCACTTAGGGCATGGGCCTCTCAGGGCTATCCTTACGTAGAGCATGGAGGTCTCTGAGTAGGTGCCAGTGCCATAAATCTCTTTAACCACAGCAAACTAAGCCCCATCTAGGACACAGACCAAGAAAGAACCATGGCATATGATTTCTCTGTTGGGTGTCTGAAGAGAAGGAGAAAAGCAAGAGAGATATGTGAAGAGAAATCAGGTGACTTTCATAACCCAGTAACCTTCCAATCTTGAACTTTCGTAAAGTATAGAAGCTTTCTATTAACTGGGAATTATTAAGCTGTTAAAGTAAAAAGTCCATCAAGGGACATCCCTATCAGTAGAAACTTAATCTACAGAGAAGATTGTACACAATCATTTAACCACTTTATTAAAGACTAAGTAGTCATCACCATATTTAATAAATGAGACCAATAAGAGAAACTGTCATATTGTGTATAAGAAGTGGAGAGAAGCAGGCAGGGAAGGGAACTAGAATGGTATAGATACAGAGCTAGGCAGAGAAAGGATGAGGGGGAGAGAGGAAGGGAAAGAGAAAAGATGAGAGAAGTTAAAAGACAAATAATTGAAGAGAAAAATAAATACAAGATAAATACAGTCAAGTTGGCAGGAGATATGATTTAGCGTGTCAAAACAGGAACACTCCCCTATACTCTTCCCCATTTTTTTCCAGTGGTTGTTGGTAGACAACAGCACCTCTAACTACAAATTGAAATTAAGATTTTCTTTGTGTCTGCACCACTGTCCCAAACACTGAGACAGAAAACGATGGCACTGTCACAGACTCTCCACTCTGTGCCTGCAAAACACATAGTCAGTTTTATCCAAAGCAACAAGTAGTAACATTTGACCCATGCGTATGATTACTTTGAAGTGTTTTTTAATAAAAAAGGAAAACTGACTCAGCAAACCCCATGAATAAAATATGTGATGAGCACCAATGGGTCAGGAGTGGAGCTCTGCTAGATGCACAGAAGTCCTGTCTTGCGCTTGGTTGTCGTAACAGTAGGCTGGGGATCGAATGGCCTAAGCTTCCTCATTTGCCATAGGTTACACCACCATTTGCAAGAAGCCTAACTTCCCTGGCCTGGTGTCCTAATCTGTATAAGGGGGAAATAGTGTCTACTGCACAGAGTAGTTTTCAGAGTTAAATTAAGTAATCAATGTAAAAATACCTAAATTCCTGCCCAGGATGTAATAAATTAATCACGCAACCTTAGCTGTTACTCTTGATGAAGTTACCTAGCCGTCCTGTGACCTTTATAGAAAGCTACCCAAACTCTCTAATGTCACAGTGAGATTTTACAGTTGTGGGGTAAACACACATCCCTTCTTATTTCTTAGGGCGGGTGATAAATACAGGGCAGCACCTGTGCTGCCTGGGTTGTGCATCTGTCACGTGTTGTGTGCTGCAGTGTGGATTGTCAGTAACCTGTCGGGACCGCATGCTAAGCCCTCTCGCGTACATGATGGTGTTTTGTTTCACAAAACCCTGTTGGGTAGCTGATCTTATCCCTGTGTTTCCAAATGAGAAAACTGAGTTTCCGGGAGAGAGAGGACTTACCTGTGCGAGGGAGGGGTCAGAATGGAGCTTCAGGCCCAGGTCTAGCTGCTTCCTAAGAAGGCGACTGACGTGGAATGGACCTGGCAGAGTAGAAACAGGAGTGGAGGTTCACACAGAGTAATTCGTGTTACTCTGTGATTTGTGAGACAGGTCATTTCCCCTCCCCCATTTGTTTTCCCCAGTCATTTGATATATCTTCCCCCTCCCCAAGGGTGGTGGCCGTGGGGCTGTGAGAGGTTTTCGATCCTTCCTTCTTTGTGTTGTTTTATCAGCTACACAAGGCACAGTACAGAACCTCTGCCGAGACCCAGCTGCTCCGCTTGTGCATAGGGCAGAACCTGCAGCCATCTCTTTTGGTTTCTTCCCGCACCAACCCCAGTCTTGCCCTTGACCCCTCAGGTTGCCCAGGGTCCACTTAAGTGTCCATCCAACCCCATCATTGCATCGGAGTGGCTTCCCACTCCTTCAGGGGGGACAAGAGCTGCATCCTTTTGATTTCGATGGAAGAAGTGCTTTCAAAGAGCAACACGGGCTTCCTTGGGGTTGATTGCTGAGTCCCTGTGCCCCCCACGACGATCTTTTCAGCAGCATCCCTGGGCAGTTTTATAAGGCCCCTAATTGTTATTGCTCGGCAGTTGTTCCGCTGTGATAAGTGGAGCATCAATCACACCTTTATCACAAGCCATTATCATACTGTTGATGGCCTCTCTGGGACGCCTGTGGTCACTGAATCAGAACCAGCTTCTCAGATCTCAGGAGAATGGAGTACAGAGCTGTCATCATAACAGGTCCTCAACAGAATCTGTGGGACCTGTCACTGCAAAGTGTGACATGTGCTCTAGAGGACATGTATTAGGCTGAGACTGATGGGTGTTTTCGTTGGCACTTCTGTCTTTCCCTTACTGCCGTGACCATCACTTCACTCTCCGAGACTAATCAGTGTCCACACACCAGCTGCACACATGGCCAGCAGACTATGATGACCCGATGCCAATGCCCTTGGAAAGGACTGTTCAGCGAATATGGGTTTTCATTGACGCTCGCTTTAGAAGACTCTTAGCACATGGTGTTTGTACTCGCTAACAGGAAGGGCTGCAGAGGCCATTTTCCCAGTGAGTCCTGAAGTTTTCGGCATGTTTCCTCTGTATCCTCTAAGGGTTTTGAAATTTCCTCTGCACAGTGAAGCACAAGAAAAAGCAGCAGTGATCTTCCGCTTAGGTGGTGTCGGTTATAAATGGAGACAGGCTAGGCAAGGCCTCACCTGCTACTGAGAGTCCTTGGCTCAGACAGTCAGCAGGATCAGTGCCTCTCAGCGTGTCCTCTGCTAATGATTATCACAGTAACAGCTAACCTCTCCAGAACCTTCAGTCAATGCCCAGGACTTTATATGCAGTGTCAGTGCCACCCTGGGGAACAGGCAGTAGAGCATCAGGTGTGCAAGCAAAGGGCCTGTGAGGTAGGCAGCGAGCACCTCCAGCCATAACACTGGGCTGCATCTTTGAGGGGAAGGAAGGAGGGAAGGAGGGCGGGTGAGGACCTCAGGGATGCAAGTTTGAAAGGGTGTTGGCCAGGTCTGTAGGAGCCCCGGGACCAAGACTGCCCATTAGAGAAGTCCACAGGGGCAGGGCTGGCCTGACTCTGGGGTTCCCATGATGCTCCACTGGCTGGGAGCACCTGGGAAGAGCTTGGCCGTGGCGTCCACGCTGCAGCGGCTCCTGAAGCCACCGCGGCTGGAGACCGTGAGCTCACTATACTACTAGCTTCAAGTGTGAGCTCAAAAATGTATGTCTGTGGATACCTCCAAGGCAGTGGCCACCTCCGTGGCTCCCTGCTTTAATTCCTGGCAGTGATCTTTTGACACGTGCATTGTAGTTGAACTTCCAGTTCAAGTAGAATTTAACTGGCCAGGATTCAAATGGGGAAGAGCGTGGGTGAGGAAGACGAAGGTGGGCGAAAGGAAGAAAAGGTGTCAGACACTTCTGCCTGAAGGGTAGTGTGCAGAAGGGAAGGCCTCCAGTGAGAGAGAGCTGAGAGCTGTAGCCCAGAGCCGCCTCGTCCTGCTTCTCCATCCCGAGAACCTCTCTTGGCTTTGATGCATTGCTCTCGACATATGTTATTCCAAGACACATGTTTTTCCATACACTGGAGTCCCTCAATGAAGTCAGCTATCTCATTTGATGCTCCAAAAAGAAGCTGCACTTGGGGGTATGTTTTCTATAGTTGATGGTCAGATTAAGCACTGACTAAAGACCCGGGTCTCTTGAAAGATGAGACTGTTGTGATAACCTCACTTTGCCCAAGAGGAAACAGAGGCTTCGTCAGGGGCAGGAACTTCTCCAGGCCACACAGCTAGTAGCTGGCGGAGCTAGCTGTCAGACTCTGTCTTTACTCCCTTCTCCCTGCACAGCAATTTGATTGAGTAAACACACTAGGTTTGAGACAAAGTCTGAGGAGCTCTGCATTTATCTGGGCCTGTTTCACTGACAGAATGACTGAGTAATATTCGAGGCAAAAATGTGCCATTTTCAGAAAAAATGCCGAGTTATGAAAATTAACACCCCAAAGAGCCTGCCTCTCACACCTTTATGGTAAACAGATTTATCACCTCTTCCCCTTTCTTATTTCTTTCCTATAGAAGCTGCTAGAAATCTTGAGTCCACGTAGTAAGATTGATTTACCTGCTGTTCTGTACCATCTGACCTAATTCACTTCATACTTAGAAGCAGGCACCTTTTGCCTTGGATTGATCTTAGCGGTGCCATGAGCAGGGGAACACCACCCGCCCCCTGGGTTCTTCTCAGGCTGGAGAAGCAAAGAAATTAACATCAAGCAAATGAGTAAGAGAATAGACCCAACTTAATCCCAGACAGATGAAGAATTGGCATGACTGTAAATCCCAAATGAAGGGGCAAAGCAGGGATGTACATACTGAGCTGAGGGGTGGGACCCAGGGCTGGGCTGTTGAGGAGAGGCGTCTCCGTGACAAGGAGGGGTTGATGTCTTAGCACAAAACCTTGCCACT